CCCCTCTCCCCCCCCCCCCTGCCACATCTTCCCACCCCATCCCCCTCCTGGACCCTCCCAGACCCCCCCACTCTCTCCCTTTTCTCCTCAGCCTGCTCCCGCACCTTACTTCCATCCCATATCCTGCACCCCACCTCCCCACTAGACCCCCACCCCCTCATCACCGGTGGTTGGCTGATGTTCCATGGAAAGGTTTGCATTGAGCGGGGTTGAACAGTTGAGACTCACTGCTCTACCCCATCGCACAATTCCTAACAGGCCCCAAACAGCAGGTGCAGGTAACACACTGTCCACCACAGCTCATCACTGTGACTGCTCTGTGCACACCTCCCTGGGGTGACCCGAGAACTACGGAGTACTGGGGGAGTGGGAGAAACGGGTGAACCGGGAGTGAGCAAACCTGGGTGAGTGCAAGTGGTTTCTCCCAAAAGTTCACTTGAAATGGGATATTTTTAGCAGTGGTCAAAACCAGCCTGTATCTTCGGGTATCATTCCACGAGGAGTACAGCTAGTTCGGATTAGGAAGCCTAATCCGAACTAGCTACTCTGTGCCGCGTGTAGCCGCGCGGCACGGGGTTCGAACTGCTGGCATTTAAAAATGGCGCCGGCCGGCTTCATGCAAATAAAGCCCAGGAAATTCATATCCCAGGCTTCATTTGCAAGTGCGGTATGCCTACATTACCCTCCTAGTTCGAATTAGGAGGGTAGTGTAGACATACCCTTCCACACAAAAACAACAACAAATCTGAAGGAAATAGATTTAAAAAAGTTTTCTTGGAATTTTCAAAATCCCATTTGATTCCCAATGAAAATATTTGTCTGGCTGCCATGCAGATGGAAAGAAAGGTTTTGCTTTTCAGTTTTCTCCCTCTTTAACCCCTTTTCTCCTTCCCACCACCTGGAAAAACAACCCCCTCTCCCCCACTGTAATATATCGAGACAGTCTGGTGGCCACTGAGAGGGTCGGATCAGGGAAAATTGCTCAAATCCAGGGCTACTTACAGTCCTTCCCTATAAGACAACAAACCAGTCACCGAGCACTGCAGCTGCCATGCTAGCCAGCAGGAAGCCTCACAAAACCCCTCAGATACCCCAGTGTTCCCTGCGCCACAACCAGCCCTGATCGGTACACAGGTGAGAGGTTATAAAAGCAACCTCACCAACTTCAAACAGGTTCCCCCAGTCCCAAAGGACCAGCCACAGCCCCAGGTCAGTTTATACTCCAGATCTTACCCCAAAGAGCTGCTAGGCCTGTTCTTTGGCATCTAACAACGAAAGGTTTAATAATAAAATGAAAGAAAAGGCGGAGAGTGAGATTGTTACAGAGAAGGGGTCAGGTCAACCCCCAAGTGCTTGATGCAGGCTCTTAGCCCAGATATAATAAACTTCTAGCTTAGCAGTCTCCCGTGCACATTGGTTTTCTGTCATGAGCTTGGGTTGTGCTCAGGGCTGCATTACCCACTAGGCAGACCACGTGCCTAGGGCACCAGCAAAGCAGGGGCACCAAAAATGAGATTTGACGGTACAGTATTGTTTTTATTTTGAATTACATATGGGGGGGGGCACCATCATCTTTTCAGTGCTCAGGGCCTCTAAAGGTCTGAATCCGGCCCTGGCTGTGCCCCCAGAAAGCTCATGATGCCATCTACATTTTTTCTTAGTCTCCAAGGTGCTGGCCCCAGACATGGACAATGTTTCTTTTTGAGCCCATTGCACACGACGGTACAGTATTGTTTTTATTTTGAATTACATATGGGGGGGGGCACCATCATCTTTTCAGTGCTCAGGGCCTCTAAAGGTCTGAATCCGGCCCTGGCTGTGCCCCCAGAAAGCTCATGATGCCATCTACATTTTTTCTTAGTCTCCAAGGTGCTGGCCCCAGACATGGACAATGTTTCTTTTTGAGCCCATTGCACACCCCCCATAAAACCACTAAATTGACTCGGCTGGGCCCTGCGTGTGGAGGGACCCCCCCCC